TAGCAAGAACTACACCTGCCAGCGAGACTCACTCACCTACTATACTTGACGATACAAGACTAGGGAATTCGTCTTTACATCAGGGATAGAGTATGCGTGGCCTGCAATTCCTCTTCTACCCCGGCCGCAAATAGGGGGATAGGAAGGACTTAGCAGCCAACACGAAAACGGCAAAATATCCCATTATCAGAGCGGTTAATTGGCATCGTTTCGTTTAAGAGGAGCACAGTGAAGTGAATAATTTCGAGCGACTAATGAGACTAGCAATTAAAGTATCCACCCTTACAATCGTCCAACATTGCACTTACCCGTTCGTCAACCAAAATATCCACTCATCCCTCATTTGATCCGTCTAGGCGAATTCTCAAGAATACACTCATGCACCCTTACACCTATTGAACTGCTGAACACACATTATTCCACCGAATCGCCTGTTGACCCATATTTTCGTTGCTCCAACAGATCTTAGGACATGAAAGGGGACAATTTGGCTATAAATAGCGAACTCTCAATTTCCGATGTTCAGACATTTACTATAGAGGAACTAAACCAACCGCCTCCCACCTCTTTAGCTTTTGTAGTGCAACACAACTATACATACCTCTAAAATGCACAATAAATTTAAAATATTATGCATACCTGAAAAGTAATTATGAGGATTTTGAGGAATTGAACAAACATAGAGAAAGGGATATCGCCAGTTAATTTCCAGCGCTGGACAGAAGAAAGGAAGAAGAAGGAGAGCTCCGTGCGCAAAGAAGAAATCGCGTTTATGTCAGCACTAGATGTGTTCAACTCCGGATGAGGATTTTGAAACTAGCACCAAAAGTTCCAGACCATAATTACAGGAGCATTGCAACAGTAAATTCAAATTCACAAATCCTCACCGCGGAGGAGTGTAAAGAAGTGTGAGATCCATTAAGAAAGGGAACGTCATCAGATGAGCAAGCTGGGACGTTATGTGCCGATAAAGCGATTCGGCGCGGCATGACACAACCTGAAAAGAGTGTAGACACAAATAACCACCATACATAGCGCCCAATTCATTCACAGACACTGGTACCAACAACAAACTGGAAATAGCAGCAGCGAGCAAATTCAACACGTGTAAGAAACTCAGAGAGGCTGATTAATTTGGAAAGAAACAAACAAGCTGGACTACAACCAGATGCAAACCAACCTACCATGGGAGATGAGATTACGGGTCAAATGACAGAAAAACCCACCAAATCTTAAACATGCAATGCAGCAAAACAATATCTAGCGTCTTTTAATTAATTACATTCAATAATTATATTTGCATTTGTAGCATTAGTAAATTAAGTTTGTGCTATTTATTATGTTAAAAATCTTTTTTATCTTCAAAGACCTATCCGTGGCCAACTGTCAGGCTGAAGGTTGCGGTCGTGTAAATTGGTGTGTGAGGGGAGTTGGCATCATTTCCATCATACCTTTATGCAGGTTAGAAGTATTTTTAATAGATTTCGTAGTTTCTGTTTCACACTCGACCAATATGTTCGGATGCTCTAAAAGTAAAATGTACGGGGCCCCTGGCCTAGCACTCCATACGTCTCCAGTAATTGATCGGCAGCATATGATCCCCAAACTTTCCATTAATTGCCCCATTTTTTATTGCGAACCGCGATTTACGTATCGCAATTTTCGGTTCCTCAACAGATGAGTGACTATGACAGGTTGAAAGTCATTGTTGTCGGTGACTCGGGGGTGGGCAAAACCGCCTTTGTGCATTTACTCTGCTATGAGCAGGTTCTCCCTAATCCATCGTGGACAGTAGGCTGCAGTATTGAATTATCGGTATGGCTTGATCACTTCATTAAGCTTACAATTTATGCTTTTTCAAACTAAATAGAAACCATAAGTGTATCAATTTTGCTCTCTGATTTGGTGCGTGTGTAGAACATGTTATTCAATAACCTTCCCTTGTTTTATACTTCTGAGATGGGTTATAGTGCTGTTCATTCAAAATTTTGGCGTTTATTTCAACATAAATTATAGCCTTTCTTGTCAAGGATTAGTTCATTCTTCTAAATCTTGCCCTCTTTGAAGGCTTGATATGTAATTTGAACGGCACAGTTTGTATGAATGCTTCTTTCGGTCTTAGGTCTTTGACGTTTTGGTGGATTCTGTTTTCGTTTCGTACATTCTGGTCCTTGTATTGTTCTCCTAGGAGCATATTGCCCACATATAGCTGATGCTTCAATATTCTCCGATTATACTTTTTTACCTTCCCGCTTATGTTTTCTGTAGATACGGTAGTTATAGTAAGCGGTTTAAATCCCTTCTTCACAGATACTACTTGTCCTTATCTTTTATGAAAGTCTGGTCCTCTCTAAAGTGGCTGTAATTGAGTTTCTTACCTCTGCTTTCTACCTCCTCTGACAGATTTTTCCGCGGCCTGGATCCACTGACAATGCTATAAATCGAATGGGACATTCTAGGACGCTTAACGGCGAGCGCTATTTCGTTGAATTCTGGGACATTGGGGGGTCGGCAAACCATGCTAACACTCGTTCCGTATTTTACGACAATGTGCATGGTGTTATTCTGGTTCACGATCTCACCAACAAGAAGTCGGAGGCCAACCTGGAGAAATGGCTGATCGAGGTCACTTCCAAAGGGCGAGCGTACGTAAACAATTCATTATGGATTTTTCTTGTGACCTAACTACCCTTTGTCGAAACTTGTCCTCTTGTTGTATCCTTCGAAAACCATTTTTCCTCTACTGTCCTACATTTGAATAGCCTTTCACAATTAATCGATGAGTGTTGGCTGTCTCATCGCCCTTTCGACTGGCAGGTTTGAGGTCGTTTGCCATGCCACGGATACTAATCGAATGGGCTCGCCTATTACTGGTATGAAGCCACCTATC